GGTGGTGAGTGGTTTTGACGGGGAACGGAGAGGGAGGGTTGATACGTCGGACAGTTTACACACCTAGGTCTGGGAGGGATGGGCGTATTGGCTTCGTTGGCCACACTCAGAAAACTGGTTATTGCAGAAATTCTGCCGCAAGACGAATGTTTGCGATGATTTTACTGACACTTCGTTGACATTTCATTGACCAGCTGTGTTTGCAAAACCACGAAATGCGTGGTCAATAATAGATTAACATTGTACTTAGAATCAAATGATTTCATAACAAATATTCAATGCAGTTTATTTTTTACCGGTGAAGATGCGGGGTAGAACAGGTTTTCGTCGTAAGAGGCGACTTACGGGATCGGGTGGTCAGGCTCGCTGACTCGGCTGATGCATGTCATCGTATCCCATTTGCGTTGATCGATGCTCATGATGTCAATCACTGGATTGTCTGGTCCAGACTCGATTATTTACAGACCGCAGTCATATAGCTGGCATATTGCTGAGTGCGGCGTTAAACAACAAACCACAATGCAGGTTTTTTTTGTAAAAGGCGCAGTACCATTGACCATTCAGTTTGATTGAAGTCATTCGTTAAGAATGCCATTAACGTGCAGTGACTATCTTATTCGATCCAGAAAAAGCACGTGACACTACAAGGTACAACGGTGTAAGACGTACATGCCTTTGATTCCGAGGCCGTTTGTCTCAACTGATATCCCATGTTTAACTGACAGGCAATTTCAAGTCTGTGTGGGTTCTACCCTGTCTGATCATTATAATCAGGATAAGGGTGTCCCACAAGGTAGTATATTGTCTGTCACTTTGTTAAGCATAAAATGAACAATTTCTCAAAAGATGTATATGATTTAATTGATAGATCACTTTTTAAGGATGCTTTTAATATTTCCTGTTGTGCAAAAACATGCATACCATTAAGAGGCAATAACAGCTATGTTTAAGTAAAAGCCATAAATTGTCTTTAGCAAATGGGTATAAAATTTTCAAAACGTAAAACAAAGTGTATTCAGTTTTGCAGAACATACAAACCTCACACGGACCCGGAATTAACTTTATATGACACTCTTTTTAAAGTTGTAAAAGAGGCCAATTCTTATTCACAAGCCGACAATATTTTGTATGTTAACAAATAAACAAGGTGAACATTAAGCTAAACATTCTTCCTACTCTAACCATGTACCTAAATTTCAAAAATAACAAAATATATCAGTCAACAGTCAAAATGTAAGAAGTTTATAATATTTTAAGATTCTCTTTCATGCATACAGTCTATTCATAACATGTCATGTCAACTTTTAATGAAATTGTTGAAATGTTTTATAATCTTGCTACTGGCCAATATGACATCCCCTGTGATGAGAGAATCGCAGTCAAGCATAGTCAAGCACAAGCATGTCCTGCTTGACTTTCTTGATTTTTCCATCACAAGGGAAATATTTCAGTCTTAAAACAATCAAGGACCCTTTTATTCATGTTAATTCTCATTTAATATTGTGCTTTTCAAAAGAAATAGAATTACTTCATTTCTTTTGATGTACAAAGTGTGTTATTTTATACATTGGTACATCTTCCCAAGGCAAGAGTGTTAACTGACTTTAAAAGTCCAGTTTCCACCCTTGCCGAACTAGGCTGGAATTACTGGACTCGATCGTAGCGCCACCAGTGGTTATTACCAGTTATGTCCCTTCTAAGCCTCTCCTATGGACCAATCAGATTCCACCGCTCGTATCACTTGCGTTTGCTCCACACAAAATGGTGGCGCCAGTCAGGACGATCTGATCGGTAATCAAGATCTATACTGTGATAAAACGGGTCTTACATCGCGAAATGCATCAAATCACGTGAGCACCTTGATTAAAAAAATGAAAAGATTTGGAAAATATCTGCTGACAACAAGTTGGCAGGCACATGCTTTGCAAATCCTGCAAGCGACCGAAATCTGCACGACAGTTTACGAACCGGATTTCGATTTCGGTGTGCGATTTTGATTGGACTATGCATAGACTCGTTGGTCCAGCCAAAATGTAACTCCATATTTCCTGCCTAGTTCGGCAAGGGTGGAAACTGGACTTTTATAGTCAGTTAACTTAGTTGCCTCGGGAAGATGACAATGGTAGTGTTAATTAGTAACTTGTATTGTCAGTGGCTGTACCCTCGAGGGGGTGGGGTGGGGGTTGGGGGTGGGGTGAAGTAACGTAAATGTATTGTCCCTTAAAATGGTATTTTAGTTCCACGTCATTCAAAGTATTTTTATACATGCCAGTACAATCTCATTAAAATCTGATCTTAGTTCTCGCTACCGCTTAACAAAGATCTGAGGATATCCCATTAGGGGTCACGTCAGAACGACCTTTCATCCGACCAATCAGAGCGTCGCTTACCAGATCATGAAATTGACAGTCGGAATGTGATTTCTAATCATGCAACCTCGAAAACGTTAACACGGGGTATTCCGAACGATAGGTACGGGCTTAACGACTGAATCCATACAATCTAGACCATCTATTAGCCATTCCAGAATGTTCTTTTGTTCAGGTTTATCGAGAATTTATCAAAATATGTTTCGAAGCGTTGTCGCCAATTTGAAATTAGTGCCGTAAAGCACGAGAAAGCTGCCTTCTGATTGGCTAATGTCGACTTCTTGTCAGTCATTTCATTGGTCGGTCAAAGCTCGCGCAAGGTCGGTCTGGCGTGACCCGTAATGGGATGTCCTCAGATCTTTGTTCAGCGGCAGCGAGAACTAGGATCCGATTTTAATGATATTGAAAAGTAGTATATTTGTCATTTTACTTTGATGGCTAAACTTGTAAACACTCCCCGGCAGCTTAAGTAGTGGTGTAAATCCTGCTGGGGAACTGTTCAGATAGCAAAGTTCACGCCCTGGTATGGTGGCCTCACTGTGATTGCTGGCGATCTATATATTGTGTTGTTGAATAATAATTTCTTCTTTTAAATGTTTGTATTCAATCTAAATATATTTATTATAAATGTTTAAGTTCTCATCACGACATGGCTGAAATATTGCCGATGTGACGTTAAATATTAACTCACTCACTCCACTTTTTTGCCTTCAATTTACTTTTTACGCCAGGATAAAGCTGTACAGTAAAAACGGTAAAAAAGGAACGGTAAAAAACGAGCATGCAAAGATGACATCCATACTTATAACTTATATGGTTGGAATTAGTTGCATTATCTTTCCTCGTTTGAGCTGTCCAGTTTTCGTGATACCAAACTTCAACATCGCCATGTAGTTTTCTAAGGGAGCCTGCTTGTCGGACTCCTCGGCCTTTTCCGTGACGAACCTGACGGAACTTGACGAGCACTTGAACACAGGATGGATTACCGCATCACGTGGTTCTGATGGTGAGTGTGTGAATGGGTTTTCTTTCAGGCTGATGTGAACAGTGTTTGAGTACCACCACAGCGTGTCAGCTTACGGTGTGAGTGAGTGAGTGAGTGAATATGGTTTTACGCCGCTTTTAGCAATATTCCAGCAATATCACGGCGGGGGACACCAGAAATGGGCTTCACACATTGTACCCATGTCGGGAATCGAACCCGGGTCTTAGGCGTGACGAGCGAACGCTTTAACCACTAGGCTACCCGACCGCCCCCGCTTACAGTGTAAAGGACTGATTCAGATGTTTGATGACAGCGTTTCGGAAAGGATTCTCGTAGCCTAACGGGACGCAACAGGAAATTCCCCTCCATGTAACACGGGAACAAGAAATTAAGGATCTACGTTTTAAAAAATGATCTTCAGCAACCCTGCTCGCCGTGAGGCGACGAACGGGATCGAGTGGTCAGGTTCGCTGACTTGGTTGATGTATTGTATCGTATCCTAATTGCGTGGATCGATGCTCATGACGTGAATCACTGGATTTTCTGGCCCGACCTTGATAATTTACAGACCGCCATCATATAGCTGGAAAATAGCCTTTGTCTGTTCGATTTTTTTAAGGCTGAGATCGCACTTTTCCCTAATACCGTTGAGTGAGTAAGTGTGTGAGTGAGTGAGTGAGTGAGGGCCTGAGCAGGACGAGAGGCCACCTTTCGAAATATTCAAACGTTATCATGACGGATATTACTTCCAGTTACTTCACACTGTACCAATCTAAAACACATCTGTGACGTCATTCTTTTGTTTGAGTTGATTGTGTTCGTTGCCACTGTTGCATGTGCTCCGTCGCGAGCAGATCTTGTTTTATGGCTCTTGGAATGTCTTGTCAAAGTGTAAGAGTAGAGGAAGCAGTCGGAGAATACCCCTCTCCGTGGAGAGTGACTCGGACATTCCCCTCTACGTAAGGTCAGATCGTGTGGGGAATGAGTACTACCTATTTCTTGCCCTGTTGTACCCAACAAGTGAGTGACTATGGTTTTGCGCCGCTTTTAGCAATATCCCAGCAATATCACGGCGGGGACACCAGAAATGGGCTTCACACATTGTACCCATGTCGGGAATCGAACCCGGGTCTTCGGCGTGACGAGCGAACGCTTTAACCACTAGGCTACCCGACCGCCCCTGAATCCAACAAACGAAGCGCAATCACGCAATCTATTCATTTTCACTATTAACACAAAAGGTTTGACTTTGAATTTTTTCCACAAAACATACTATACACTGTTTCCCAAATGCCAATAAACTATTCCTTTGCAGGATACAGACATCTTATTAGTGAGTGACTGTTTTTTACGACCCTTGAACAGTATTCCAGTTATATCACGGCGTGCCTGCCTAACGTAGAGGAAAGCCCCAAGTGATGCAGGTCTCAAACGTTTACCGGGTATGGTGCTGCCAAACCCAGAGACATAATCGGGAAGAACTGTGATTCGAACCCACGATCACAAGTGTCTGGCGTGCCTAGGGGACGCAACTCTCCACAGCGAATTACAGCGGCTTAGACGATTGGGCCACCCGAGTCCCCGACTTCTTATGGGGGTGTCATCAGATCTTCACGCACGTGTTAAATACAGACAAACATAAAAAGTATGTAAGAAAAGATTTAATTCGTAATAGTATAGGAAAACAAAGTGATGCAGTTAACAGACCTGATACTCTGCCCAATTCGTCACCATTCGCCCCTTTCCGGGCGGTCCCGGAATGACACGGATAGTCACGATGGTTCGAGATAAGTTAACAGTGAGGAAAACGTGTGTTAAATCTGAAGAATAGAATATTGCTATACCATCTGGTGACTGAAGGTTGTAACTAAGCAACCTGCCGCCAGGAGGCTCTCGCACAACCATGACGTAATCAGAACTGGAGACTTCCGGTTTGACAATCAATCCTGGGAGAACCGGAAGAATGTGAATCAGGAGAGCCGGAAGTTACGATTCGCAACTCGTGGATTTTCGGTACAAGCCGAATGACGAACATCTTCATAAGGCATTTGAAGGAACACATTCGGTAGGACACAAATGGCCACAAATTATAAATTTCCAATCATCCAAGAAATTCAACGCGAGAATGTCGAGATGTGACGAATCGGCTCACCTCAATCCCAATGTCACGTGGGTGGCGGAAATAGCCGAGAGGGAACGACAGTGATTCGACAATGATAGCTTTCCAGTTTTCCCAGCACAAATGGAAGTTCCAACTGATGTTTCTAATTCCTATCGTGACAATGCATGCAGTAGATATTCACGTGGTAATATTCAGCTGTCGATGTGGGCCTCTGCTATAGATGCACAGCAAGTAATGCTACTCTAACGATTCCATACCTGAGTGTTCTGCCTAAATATAAAAGCTAGTACTAACTTAATAGTAACCTCGACAAGGACTAGGACAACATTCATGGCAGGTGTTATCGTGTGATGTGAATGACATTAGCTATAAGATAAATAGTATAATTCTTGTCACTATCAAACATCTTACTCTTCAAACATTCACCAACTCTGTGTCAACTTACGCTATGTTATAGCTGGAATGTGAATCGTGTCAACCAAACATTCAATAAAGTATATACTTAATTAAATATATATAAAATATCACACTAATGGAAAAAAAACAACGTGTGTCGAGTATGTGACCCCAATAATCACAGAAGAATTTTGCAAAGTGGTGGTGGGGGGGGGTTGAGTATACTTGGAATGATTTCAAAGTGAACATTTTCGGCGCAGAATGTATCACTGTTTCGAATTAACCGGCTTCGAGTTATCGAGAGCCAAAATTGTGACATAATAGAAACACTGCATTTAAAAAAAGTGCACAAAGAGCAGCAAGAAAATACATTGCAACAAACAATAACAGTATAGAACTCTATATAAACAATTATCTCAACAAAGGCTGTGTTTCTTCTATATCAAGCTTCTTTAAAGCAATCGTTTTTTCGAGGGTGTTGTTATTCGCTACGGCCAAAGACTTCGTCATCTCTATAATGTCATTGGTCAGGATATACTGAATATTTCCTAAAAAGATCGTTCCAGATTTTCGAGAGCATTTTAAATTATGTTATAAAAAAATCCAGTTCCTGTGTATTTTGTTTTTATTCTTCTCTCAGATTCAGCAGTGTCACTCCAAATATCAGGAAGGCGATAGTTACGTTTCATATTATTATTTAAAATGGAAATTTCCATTAAAAATTGTAAATCTTTGAAAGTTTGAAAATACTGACCTTCTATAAAGCTAATGTAGCACGAAACAGAAAAACAAAATGAAATGAAATTAAGACGTCATTTTGAAACGCACGACGGTGACGGTGGTCAAGCCATCTCCGTCCACACATCTCCGTCCCTACAAGTCGACCAGTCGAGTCAATCATAGCAAACAAATAGTCCTTTTGCTGCACTGGTTTAGAAGATATTTTTTGTGGCTTCAAAAATGAAAAATGATCTCAGTGCTCATCTGCAATGGGAAGTTTACCGTGTTCAAGTGTATTGATAAAAAACACACGCTCCACTGATGTGTCACGTGGTGCTGTTTAAATGTTTTCGGGTTGTTTTATTGGTCAAAAATACCAGCATTCGTTTTGGACAGTTATTCAAGGTTAAATAAATCCCATCCTTCATTACCCAGTGTAATATATCCTATTATCCTTTCTCCATCTATCTTACCATTAACCTAGCACAATAATGACCTTAAACCAACAACCAATCAAAACCCCCTTTCTGAACGTGACTTCGCATAAACCTACATTCAAAATTTCCGACTCTGGCGAGTGAGCCCTTGACGTATTTAATCAAGTAAATGAACTTGTAGCTGTAAAATATATACTCCTGAGTATTAAGACAAATTCTTTTCCTACAAGCAGGTGATTTGTACCAATTCTATCGCTGATGTTACAATTGTTTAAAAAAACAGCCCAACTTTACTGGACGGCTGTATAGCCCCGTGCAATTCGAGCCAGACTGAGAACGAGGCGAATAGGTCCATGATGATTATCATTATAGAATAGAGATATAATACACTGGTCATCGATGATGATATACCCGACCTGTCTAAACGCCGACGCCTTCAACAAAAACCAACATGGCTACATAAATGTTATATACACAAGGCGATTCCGTGTAACAACGCGAAACTGTGTAGCAATGAATCCATAGTACTAGTATTGCATATACCTCCACGACTTCCAAATAAATGGTTCCATTTTCACAAACTGTTCACTCTCACTAATGATGACTGCATTTTAGTTATGACAAATCACTACAATCTCATCCAAGAGGTTGAACTTGTGGAATTAACTGTGTTGTGTCATGATGAAATAACGTCATGTGCATTATGACGTACTAAATGTCTAATGACGTCATCATGCTTCTCCGATGAGACCAAGTAGAATCTTCCTGTAGTCGCCGCTTGTGTCACCCTTGATGAAGCTCGCCAACGTTTTACCGTAGTTCCGCTCAAATTCTTCTTTTATCAGTCCCATGTCGATCTAAAAACAAAAAGAGAGAGATTAGATTTCGAACTATGTCTAAGCTACGGAACATTATGTCAAGGATTCTTAATTTCATCCATTCGTGACCAACTCATGTTATTCCGGGACAAGCCGAATAGCGACTCGTGCCCCTCTCATGGCCATTTTTGCGACCGGGTTCCGTCTTAGCGCAAACGGGCATACCTAAAACTATTGTCAACTCGTTGCGTAATGGTTCACATATTATTTCCCCATGTATTATATATATTTCAGATGCAATTTTAAGCACATTGGGACGTGCGGAATTATACAGTATGATTGAACAAATTTAACTGTGTCTTGGGTATATTTTAAGACATATGTAAAGTCAAAAATTATTTCTGAGGGATTCTTTGACGAAGAACTTAAAATCTTACGCGCATTCTGAATGGTTTGTCGTATTTTCGCACATAACATTCATCGATAGGGGGACGAGTCTTCTTGCAGGTTACGGAAAGGGGCGAGTGGTGACGAATGAATTTCATCGTCACCACTCGTTCCTTTCATTAACATTCTTCCTTTTCCGGAATTACACGAATGATCGCTAATGCCATCATACGAGGACATTTTTCATATCTTATTTTCTTAAATACACAAAGATAAAATGGTTCAAATAAAACTTGGATATGATTAACTATTGTTTCATGCATCTACATGTTCGGGGAACACTGTTTCTTCGTATTTTACCGAATATCCTACCCATATCTAAAACAAATGGCGTCCAATTTTGAAATAAATAAATTGAAGTGTTTCCTTAAACCAAAAAACATTTTGGATGATAATAGATTAGGCGGAGATTGTGTTAAATTATTGTGCTGAATGCTGTTGTTGTCCACAGTGTTTGTGTGTTAATGAATAAATAAGCAGTATGTGAAGTTATTATTGTTTACGTATTTATTTATAAGAACTGACTTCAATATGGTTTTGCATTAATGGAGGTATAAACGTAAAAATTACCTCACGCATTGCGCACACCGGGGCCATAAACACAAACCATTTTGAAGTTAATTCTTAACTTCCTGTTAATTATGTTCTTAGTTTATAAATTAAGTTAATAGAAAATGTTTGGCTAAGTACCCGAAAAACGTTTATGTTACCCGCTCGCATACAGAGCTCACTCAAGAAATATGTTAAAAGAACGCAAAGGGACACTTCCGTAACCCCTGTCTCGAATTTAAATAAAATATATAAAAACTACCTAGAAGTATTTAAACATATTTTATATCGGGCTAAGTTGCCGTAGCACAAAATAGAAACAGGTGTTAGGGGCGGAAATCTTCTCAAATCAAGACTGTCCTGGAATTTAATCCGTGTTCTTAAACCCTGCTGAGGAGATTAGACATGTGTGAGTAACTCCTTACCTCACAGCGGGAAACCACGAGTCTGATGAGGTGCTTGTCCTTGGTGCCGGCTCCCTTCATGCTCTTGTACAGCAGCTCAGCGTAGAAAGCCGGAGTGTTCCGAACCAGCTTCACTGCAAGGGAGATAACTTATTTATCACACGGGGTGTTCACCGCGACTCCCATGTTTCCGCAACGTCATTTGTCCGTGACACGAGCGGTCATGCGTGATACGTGAAAATGACGGTAAAATGGCATTCAAGATTACTGCACGTATATACCGACGTGTATGTGCGTGTGCGTGTGCGTGTGCGTGTGCGTGTTCCCCCTAATTATATTCATAGGTCTGTCCGAACCATGCTCGTACATCCTGATGCAATTACTTTGTAACGATATTGCTTGATCAATCAAAAGCTGGATCTTACTTGGCAGCCAGTTTTGGGTGATACATATGAAATTGACTCACTAACCAACAGAGATCTAGAGATTCACTGACCAACAGACAGATTCACTAACCAACAGAGAGATTCACTTACCGACAGAGAGATTCACTTACCGACAGAGAGATTAACTAAGATTCACTAACCAACAGAGAGATTCATTAACCGACAGAGAGATTCACTTCCCGACAGAAAGATTCACTAAGATTCACTTACCGACAGAGAGATTAACTAAGATTCACTTACCGACGGAGAGATTAACTAAGATTCACTTACCGACGGAGAGATTAACTAAGATTCACTTACAGACGGAGAGATTAACTAAGATTCACTTACCGACAGAGAGATTAACTAAGATTCACTAACCAACAGAGAGATTCACTAAGATTCACTTACCGACAGAGAGATGAACTAAGATTCACTTACCGACAGAGAGATTAACTAAGATTCACTTACCGACAGAGAGATTCACTAAGATTCACTCACCGACAGAGAGATGAACTAAGATTCACTTACCGACAGAGAGATTAACTAAGATTCACTTCCCGACAGAGAGATTCACTAAGATTCACTCACCGACAGAGAGATGAACTAAGATTCACTTACCGACAGAGAGATTCACTCACCGACAGAGAGATGAACTAAGATTCACTTACCGACAGAGAGATTTACTAAGATTCACTTACCGACAGAGAGATTCACTAAGATTCACTTACCGACAGAGAGATGAACTAAGATTCACTAACCAACAGAGAGATTCACTCACCGACAGAGAGATGAACAAAGATTCACTTACCGACAGAGAGATTAACTAAGATTCACTTACCAACAGAGAGATTCACTAAGATTCACTCACCGACAGAGAGATTAACTAAGATTCACTTACCGACAGAGAGATTCACTTACCGAAAGAGAGATTAACTAAGATTCACTTACCGACAGAGAGATTAACTAAGATTCACTTACCGACAGAGATTCACTTACCGACAGAGAGATTAACTAAGATTCACTCCGAAAGAGAGATTTACTAAGATTCACTTACCGACAGAGAGATTCACTAAGATTAACTTACCGACAGAGAGATTCACTTACCGACAGAGAGATAGGCTTGTTCAAGGTGCCCGCTTGTCTCCTTCTTGATGGAGGCCTCGATGTCCTCCCCACAGGCCATCTGGTACGCCTTGAACACTTCCTTCAGCTGGCTGTAGCTTCTCAGACTCAGGATGCGGTTAAATACTGACTCATCCGTCCCCAGCTTCTTCACTCCAGCCTGCGAATGTGATTGAATGAGTGAGTGAATGAGTGAGTTAAAGAATGAGAGAGTGAATGAGAGAGTGAGTTTAGAGTGTCAGAGAATGAGAGTGATTTAGGGAGTGAAAGGTATTTCATGGAGGATGGAAGCTGCCCTGGTTTCGAATATGAGTTATATAAATAATTTTGAGATAAAACAAATTCCTGATGTGTTCCGAATTGTGACAGTGTTAGACGACCGTACCCCTATTTTATTACCGTAGTTCCTCCATTTAAGGCACTCTTTACCCCGGGGTTTAATGGCAGAGATCATAATGCTGAGAAATCCATGCATAAAATAAATCCAGTGTTTATTCTCGGTATGGCAATATTAAGATTTTGAAATATTTTGCAAAATTCACTGACTGATTTAAATATATATGTATGAATTATTTGGCTTCACCTTGACAAGTTCCTGGGCATCAATGAGTGCGTCGCTAGGATTCACTTCTGTGGTGTTAGACCGATTGGCTGTCACTTGTGACGTCAGAAAGCGTTTGAAGTGACCGCTTGTATCTGATTGGATGTCCTTCTCAAGATCCTTTTGAAACACTGAAACAAACACGCCGCATGTGGTTAAGATGAGCTCTGTCCGCGCGAGTGAGTTAACATTTGACGTCGCGTCGGCATTAGCCTGTCCATCTGCTGGATGAAGTAGGCGGGAATCACCCTTCTACCTCACTTGTTTATTATAACTGAAGGGGTGGCTGTCGTGTAGGGCACTGCAGATAATATGTACGTTGACACCCCAAGGCTTCCTGTCTGAATACCTGATCCATTTCAGTCGATTCTTTCATTAAACATATGAGTTATTGGTACCAATTCTAATCAAGCAAGTCACGACAGCTTACGACAGTCACGAGGAAAATGACAGTCTGACATGGACAGAATTATTTTCAGATGCATACCCGATGCGATGTGATCGAAATGGTAAACATCTTTTGCATTGTTTTCAAAATAAGTGAGACCGTCTCCACTTTCTAGTTGGGAGAGAGTCGGTCTGAGGTTTGATCCCCGGCCAATCATTAAAACATGTTAAAAGATGGTACCCTGACACTCAACAATATTCTAGCTATATGACGGCGGTCTGTAAATAATCGAGTCTGGACCAGACAATCCAGTGATTGACATCACGAACATCGATCTACGCATTTGGGATATCAAGACATGCATAAACCAAGTCAGCGAGCCTGACCGCCCGATCCCGTTAGTCCCCTTTTACGACAAGCATGGGTTGCTGAAGGCCTGGTCTAAACCGGATCTTCACGCATGGTGCTCACAAACCAAATAACATAGCCATGGATTGGAAACCCCGATGGCGCCCAAGAAGACTGGGCCACCCTGTGATCCCATCTTATTATATGAAATACCCTTACATCTTTTATACTCTGCCTTGATTTCCTCAATCTCCTTGTTAGTTCGGCAACACAGGACCTCGATGAGGGTCGTCTCGTCAGTTCCAGCCCCCTACAAGGAGAACATCACAAATACTCTCGGATCTCACTGATATATACTGCGCGAATAAAGTAAGGGATCACACATTATTTGGGGAACATTTTTATGAAATTGTTTGCTAAGTCTTCACAACCAAAAAAGTCCGCCAAAATATTCAGGATCCCGACCTATATTGTACAGGGTACCTGTCATAGCTTGTTACTGTTTTTGCTAACTTTCCCTTGAAAATAATTCCTTTGAGAATTAGTGTAACATCGTGGGTGTGTTTAACGCAGATTTAAACAATATTTCAGTCATAATTAGCCTTTCTAGCTTAATACTGTCAGGTGAGGTGAAAAAGGGTTTAACGTCGCGTCCAAGATTATTGCACTTATATAGCGCCGGGCATGCACGTGTGTGTGTGTGGCTGCTTGTACTAGTCCGAACTGATGCCGATTTATAGTGCTAGCTCACTGAGACTCCATGCCGCAGTTTAACATGAATACCCCACTCAGACACAGTATACTGACTCCGAGCCGACCAGTCCTTGTTTTAGCCCCTTAATGCCGAGCGCCAGACAGGGTAACAACAAGTACCATCTTTTAACGTCTTTTGGTATGGCGCGGCCGGGGATCGAACCCCGGACTTTCCGCTCTCCGGGCGGACGCTCTACCACTAGACCACGGAGGCGGTCGCTTTATACTGTGAGCGAGTTTGGCCTTGATTATAGTGTCGGCGTGACGAAAGTGAGTGACGATTTACACGTTGATACAATCCACGTGACACGGTACTCACAGCCACAAGATAAAACTCAGAGCGAATCTAAGCTTCAACCCAAGACAGTACATCCTGGCACGGCTGAGGAACGCAACTCAGGGAGTCAGACCTTTGACCAACTGGTCCCCCGTTTCCCCGAAGATCAAGCATACCTTTATTGAGGATTTGATTTCTTTAGCGTCGAATGTCCTGGGGGCCTCCAACAGCGCCAGCGTCACGTCCTCGAACCGTCCGCTCAGCTCAGATTTCAGCTCTGCTCGTAAATCCTAGAAATCAAACAAAGTATTTTTACTTCAGTACGTGCTTTGGTATTTTGGCTGGAGACAAAATATTGTTTCGGTCAGAGCTTCATACAGAAACCCTTTTAGGGCAATTTTTAAAAAAAAATTTTTTCGATACTATCTTAAAATTTCAAGAAACTAAGTTGCAATTTCAAAATACAGAAGTTGAAATTTCAAGATGTAAAGTTGAAATTTCAAAATAATAAGTTGAAATTTCAAGATACTATCTTTAAATTTCAAGATACAGAAGTTGAAATTTCAAGATGTAAAGTTGAAATTTCAAGATACTAAGTTGAAATTTCAAGATACTATCTTTAAATTTCAAGATACAGAAGTTGATACTATCTTGAAATTTCAACTTAGTATCTTGAAATTTCGACTTAGTATCTTGAAATTTCAACTTAGTATCTTGAAATTTCAACTTAGTATCTTGAAATTTCGACTTAGTATCTTGAAATTTCAACTCAGTATCGAAAAAAAATTGAAAAAACAAATGGCCCTTAAAGGCTTCCGTAGCTTCAAGAAAGAGCCGACCATTTGTTCTCCTAAACATATAATATATAACACACCTAACAGTTATATTGCATGTAAAATCTGAGGCCACGTTATTGATTTCAAGAATTTTCCGGAATAATATTTTCTTTCAAAAAGGATTCCAGGCCCCCAAATTATTCCTTCTCCCTCCCGAAATCCCACCAAGCATATACCCGAGGCACCGTTTTATATGTTCGTATTTCTCACCACCCGATTTGAATTATTTTACTTCCGCATTGAAGAAAATGAAGACGCGAATACAGAGTTACGTCCCTTGACAGGATTACGTCCAAGCCCCTCACTAGCGCGTGACACCTTCGTAAAGGATTGCGCAAAACATATGATAAAATGATTTTTTAAAAATTCAAATTGTTTGGCCGAGCGTCTGATTTGTGTTTTAACCTGAAGACTACGTTAAACGCACAGTTAATCAGAAAGAGTTTTCTGAATCAGATAGGAATTGAAAGAAACAGAGTGATGAGGGTTGACCATGTCAGTATTTCAGTTACATCACGGCGTGTCAGCGTGATTTTGCAATTGTTTGTTTGTTGTTTAACGTTCCACTCAGCAATATTCCAGCAATATGACGTCGTTCTGGACCATACAATCCAGTGATTGACATCACGCGCATCGATCCAATTGGAACACGATGACATGCATCAACCAAGTCAGCGAGTCTGACCACCCGATCCCGTCAGTCACCTCTTACGACAAGCATAGTCGCCTTTTACGGCAAGCATGGGTTGCTGAAGACCTATTCTACCCCGGAATCTTCACGGGTCCCGTCAGCTTCAAGGACAGGCAGTAGTACCGCAGACGCTTTCAACTTTTATGAAACCCACGGGTATTACGCGGGCAAACCAACCAACAACGACCATAATGTAATGTACAGGAATGGTTCCACCGCTAGATTTTCAGATGCTCAGCTGGAAGACAGATCACAGAATAATTCTGACAAAAAATAGTATGTTCTTGTGTGAATTTCCCTAGCCTCGGGCTAGCGGGCTAGCAAATAGTGAGTGATTGAATGAGTATGGTTTTACGCTGCTTTTAGCAATATTCCAGCAACAGTACGGCGGGGGACACCAGCAATGAGCTTCACACATTGTACCCATGTCGAGAATCGAACCCGGGTCTACGGCGTGACGAGCGAACGCTTTAACCACTAGGCTACCCGACCGCCCCGCGCTAGCAAATAAAGTGGTTACCTTTCCAAACATGGTTTTGAAAGTTTTCTCAATCTCCCTCCTCTGTCTGTTGTCGTGGGTCATCATAATGTTTATAATGATGCCCTCGTCCGTTCCTGGCAACAAAGACAGCAATGCATAATTCATTAGTTACACACAAGTTTGTTGGCTTTGTAGCCAGTAATCTCATTAAAATCGGATCTTAGTTCTCGCTACGGCTAAACAAAAATCTGAGGACATCCCGTTACGGGTCACGTCAGAACGACCTTTCATCCGACCAATCAGAGCGTCGCTTACCAGATCATTCTTGTCAGTCATTCGACTGGTCGGTCAAAGTTCGCGAAAGGTCGGTCTGAAATTACCCGTAATGAGATGTCCTCAGATCTTTGTTTAGCGGTAGCGAGGACTAAGATCTGATTTAAATGAGACTGTGTAGCCAGGAATATAACAGTTATATAAGTGTGGCCTGTAAATATATTTGTTTAAACACGGTGCTTTCAGCTACGTGACGACGATCTATTCTATCTGCCCCGCTTTAAGATAGCCGACACTGGACAACGCTACTTTGATGACAGACTTAATAAGATTCTCAAATGGAAAGCGGCTAGACTTGCTTACGCAAGGGGGTAACTTTGGTAAATCTTTCCCCATTTCGGTGTCGATGAGTATATATAGGTTTCAGGGTTGCATATATATATTGCACGTATAACATATTTTGATCGCACACCCAAAATTGAAATGGAAATATCTTACAATGTTAAAATTATATATTTCACGTTAAATCAAGGGTACTCGGCACGCCCCTACTTGCAATCCCCTTGACATACATGGAATCAATATATGTATAAAACACAAGATTGCACATATTCTGTACCCGACTGGTAGAAAAACCAAATCAGCTTGCAGGCCTAGCCGTCCGTGCTAATTAAGCCACGCCTCCTCGTTAGGGCTTTTAAGGTTCGTTTGGATTGTTACCAATATAGAAATGTTACCAATGACATCGAGCATCGATTGATTACGTTAATTTACAGTTACACACTAGTGTTCTCGGTCATCGTATTGTACATCATACTGGCTCATAATGATGCAAAAAAACCTTTTAATATTTGTTAGGATACTTGAAGTAGCTTAAACATGTCATTCAAATTGTTTGAAGCACCGTAAAATATCCCACGTTTTGTCAACGCTATCATACCAAGCAGTGAGAGAGCTCCGACGACAAACACAATTTAAAGGACCTTTATATATGCAAAATAAAACACAAACTGGTCGTATTAGATCCATTCTCACAGACAAACATAATTTCTGCTCAGATTTTAATAGTAGTTGACAATAGGCATTTATCTTTCGAGTTCAATATTGGTGATGTGGATTTGTATGTCAGTCTGAATGGTGAGTGTGTATGGTTTTACGCCGCTTTTAACAATATTCCAGCCATATCACGGCGGGGGACACCAGAAATGGGCTTCACACACTGTACCCATGTCGGGAATCGAACCCGGGTCTTCGGCGTGACGAGTGAACGCTTTAACCACGAGGCTACCCGACCGTCCCCAGTCTGAATGGATTGTCTCTTCAGCTACGCCACATCATCAACCCAACACGTCCATGAGGGTCTCCGCTCCCATCACCTACACGAGCGAGCCCCTGAAGCCGTAGTCTGGACCAGACAATCCGGTGATTGATGTCATGAGCATCGACCCACGCAAGTGTTTGTTTGTTTTCGTGATTAACGCCGTACCCAACAATATTCAAACTATATGACGGCGGTCTGTAAATACTCGAATCTGGACCAGACAATCCGGTGATTGATGTCATGAGCATCGACCCACGCAAGTGTTTGTTTGCTTGTTGTTTAACGCCGTACTCAACAATATTCCAGCTATATGACGGCGGTCTGTAAATAATCGAATCTGGACCAGACGATCCAGTGATTGACGCTATGAGCATCGATCTATACGCTTTTGGGATACGATGACATGCATCAATCGAGTCAGCGAGACTGACCTCCCGATCCCGTTAATCGCCTCTTACGACATGCTTGGGTTGGTGGAGGCCTCTTCTACCCCGGGTCTTCAGGGTGGCTTGGATCAAGAAAACCAGTGAGTGACAGCATGAGCATAGACCCACGTCAACAGGGTGTGACAACATGCAGTCAGCCAAGTCACGTACTCTGACGAACCTCATCAGTCGACTGTTTAGACAAGCATGAGATACTGGGGCCCATTTTCCTACCTCTGCATCGATGGATGAATTACGCTGATGATGACTAAATATTATTTAGAAGTAGAGAATTCCAGACTACAACATACCAAGGCCTTTCATAGCTTTCCTTAAGGCGTCCGCCGCTTGCTCGGGGTTGAAGGGCTCAGCTGCGAAAACGGTTGGCTGAAAAATAGAAATACGCCATTGAAAATATGGAAAATGTAATCCCTTTAAGATAACGCATGCTCTCTTAATCTTGTGAAAAATTGAACACATTTCTATCTCACGTGCTCGCTTCATTGTCTTGCATATGTATAAATAAATAACCGTCTTATTTCCAATTTTATTTCTTCAGTGTATGTTTGTTGTTGCCGCATTTCGCAATATTCCAGCTATATGACGGCGGTCTGTAAATAATCGAGTCTGGACCAGGCAATCCAGTGATTGACATCATGAGCATCGATCCACGCAATTGTGATTGATGACATGTATCAACCAAGTCAGCGAGCCTGGCCGCCCGATCCAGTTAGTTGCCTCTTACAACAAGCATAGTCGCCTTTTACGGCAAGCATGGGTTGCTGAAGACCTATTCTACCCCGGAATCTCCACGGGTCTACAGCGACACGGAGATGCATTGCTTGTAGCCTTCCATTGCTATTACGTTACCAATTATACACTACCTTAACTGTGCAAGACATGTTACAGTTTGATCCAGTCTTGGTCGTCTCCGTCAAAATAGTAAAGATGTAAAAATAGTTTGTCTTATATACCCTTGTGTTTATTTATACACATTTTACACAGAAATAGATTCGTGACGTCACACCTTCGTTCATAAAATCACGGGTGCGCGACTGACGTCACGAGATTTCGACACTGCTGGAGTCTTTCCACACTTCGCGCGTCAGTAAAATAACCTTTTGATATCACCACTTCTTTCAACGAGAAATTAATCGGCAACTTTCTTCTTAACTGCACCGCTACCTGCATAGTGTTTTATTGTGTTTACTTCGCTACTCGGGCCAACGAGGGAGGGCACGATGTCACCCGACCGAAATATTTTATCGAAACATGTCCACAAATGTTTCGCTAGATGAGTTATTCCCCTTGGGCGTTCACCCTCGCACCTTGTTTGGAGAATGAACCGTGTCTAATTCAGGTTGCAGTTATGCGGAGCTTTGGGTGTGCGAGACAGCGTTTCCCAGTTTGTCATTCAAATGACAAAGCCGTCAGGGAACCACAATGCAGAGCCGTTTGTACTCAGCGCACTGGCCATGGTGCATAGTTCTCGTATGAACTTTAATTATGTCCATATTCCTGAAGATATATGTTGATGTACTAGTATTTTTGAGGTCGTTGTTAGAAATGTTAATCAAAAACCGGGTCTCCGGGTTAAACTTTGTGAATATCAACGAGGAATAATAATATATCTTCTGCTTTAGGTCGTTGTTAGAAATGTTAATAAAAAACCGGGTCTCTAATTATGTCCATATTCCTGAAGATATATGTTGATGTACTAGTATTTTTGAGGTCGTTGTTAGAAATGTTACTCAAAAACACTCTTCGGGTCAAACTTTGTGAATATCAACGAGGAATAATAATATATCTTATGTTTTAGCATGCATAAGCTAACAGCGGTGTGTTGTTCGTCGAAAATCCGGAATGTTTTAAATTCATAATCAAATCATTATCATAATTAATGTGATAATATTTATAAAAAGACACCCACGAGGCTCTGTAGCTCACCAAAATTATGACCATGTTGAGGCTTTAAACTTATTCTGGTGGGAAAGATCAACAGAGAATTTGCAATATTTGTGGACAAGCGATAAAACTAGAAAATGAATGGAGGAACGAGAGTATGTGGAGGTCAAAGGTAGTAGATTGATCAGTCATCAAAATATGACCCCTTAACGTATTCCGCATACCATCTACTTGATGCATACCGCATGCTTGACGCATACCGCATGCTTGATGCATACCGCATATCATAATGATACCAACAGAAAAGGCTGAGAATTGGGCGGAAAAAACATTTCAAAATGGCGTCCATGTTTAAACTTGGACCGGAATTCTGTGAGCAGTATTTAGAGATAACATAACTGGGATCTTTATTCCGTGCGGACAAGACGGACGATCGGACTACCGACGACGGACGACATAAGCACACGTGACTTTCAGAGTGTGTCAGTACCCCCACCCCGCCCCCCAACACGCCCCCCACCCCACCCCCGTGACATGGGTTGGGTGGCTCCCGTCGTGAAGCCGTCTCGGCGGTTGAGAAACTGGCCAATACGGTATACTAGTCCTGTCCTGTTCCCTCCGCCATTAGCTGCCTCAGATGCCGGAAACAGCAGCAGGAACCTGGACATTGATAATCTGTGTAAGTAGGTGCGTTAACGACCCATCTCCTCTCCTCGTCGTCACTCGGTCGGCCATGTTTATTGTCTGGCTGGCAATTTAACAGATCGACTTTTCTCAAATACTGAGACCGCAGTCGCTGCCTGTTTGGCATCCGAGATGTATGAGTGTGTAACGCCAGGCCACCGTTCCACAAAAGCGATCGTAGCGCTAAGTCCTAAGTCTGTATAAAAATATTGGAGTTTTGATCACATTCGCGCTAAGATGGCTTTGTGGAACGGTGCCATGAGACGGTCCCCTTAAAGTAGGCGAATCACAACAGTGCTAAGATCGCTTTGTGGAACGGTGCTCTGACACGGTTCCCTTAAAGTAGGCGAATCACAACAGTGCTAAGATCGCTTTGTGGAACGGTGCTCTGACACGGTTCCCTTAAAGTAGGCGAATAACAACAGTGCTAAGATCGCTTTGTGGAACGGTGCCCTGACACGGTTCCCTTAAAGTAGGTGAATCACAACAGTGCTAAGATCGCTTTGTGGAACGGTGCCATGACACGGTTCCCTTAAAGTAGGTGAATCACAACAGTGCTAAGATCGCTTTGTGCAGATGGTCCTCATCCATTCGTCAGTTCATGACCGGGACCGAAAGAACCAACAGCGATTCCAGTGCTTGTGAGAGAATTCCTTTCAGGACAACCATTTTTCATTTCTTGTGTTTCGAGACATCAGGTTAAATATATGAATACAAATATGATCTCCAAAACCCGAAGACATGTCCATTCCCATTTTGTACTGGATTCCAAAGCTCCATAAAAATCCGTACTAAGAGGGATATATTCTGTGTCCAGCAAATGTTCCTCCAAATCCCTGTCTCAAAGACTGACCATAATCCTTAATACAACCAAGGAAGGACTTTCTTTATATTCACAGAAACTATTTGAGACAAGTGGAATTAATACCATGTGAATTCTCAAAAACTCAAAGGATTTGCTTGACTTTTTGCAATCTCAGAAAAAAAAGAAGTTCCCTTCTGTCAAAACATTTAATTTTTCAACTTTGTACACTATTATCCACATGAAAAACTTAAGGAAAACCTTCATTCCTTGATCCATGGGGCTTCTGTTACAAAACGTGATGAACACAGATACAGTCACGTTCAGTACAATTTTTGAAAAATGTAAGAAAATATGTGAAATGCTGGACTTCCTCATTGATAGCATCAATGTAAAATTTTGGGGTAAGACATTTAGTCAAGAAGTAGGCATCCCCATGGGCACCAATTATGCTCCCCTTCTTGCGGATCTGTTTCCTTATGCATATGAATCGGAATTTCTGTTCGGATTAGCAAAGTCAAAACAAGGTAATTTGGCCAAGAAGTTTAACTCAAGCTTCAGGTACTAGTATATCGATGATCTGATATCTTTCAATATCAATCAAATAGCCAATTTATTTCCACTGATTCACCCACCTGAACTAGAAATAAAGGAGACCAGCGAGACCGCCTCATGTTTCATATTTAGATCCATGCATAAAGATTCAGAGTGACAAAACACTCTCCACAAGACTGTATGACAAGAGGGATGACTTCAACTTTCCAATAGTCAACTTTCCCTTCATGTCGAGCAATATTCCAGCAGCTCCAGCCTTTGTACATTTCACAGCTTCTAAAATACAACCGAGCATGCTCTTTCTACGAAGATTTCAAAGAGCGCCTTACGACTCTTGCTGTAGTTTGATCAAGGTTACAACATTCGAGGCCTCAGTAAAGCTTTCAATTTTTTTATGGTAGACATGTTGAGGATATTTCCAAATTTGACGCATCTGTGACAAAAATGATTTTTGATGCAATTCCCTATCTTGACTTGTACCATATGTTCTCGTGTGTTTTTTTCAGGTGTACAGTTGACTTGCCTGTGCATGTGTTTGTGACGGCTGCCAGCGGTGAGGCAGGATACGATCACAATTCGTGCCTGGTATCGTTTCTATTCGATAGTGATTCATAAACACATGCTCATGATATAGTTGGAATCATACAATCAACTCTGCTTTATGCAGAGCTGTCTATTTGATATGGAAAGGGTCTTGTCGCTTTATGTGCCTATAGTTTTGTGTTTCCTTCACATGTCTCGCAGTACAGTGGATTTCAAAAGCAGACGTGATTACACCAAGGGAGGCAACTCTGTTTTCTGTGGCTATCACAGATAACTCCTACCAGCACTTTCTTAAACGAGTCGGCTGGAAAGTGAGTGAGTGAGTGAGTTGGGTTTTACGCCGCTTTTAACAGTATTCCAGTTATATCACGGCGTGTCAGCTTAATGTGGGAGGAAAGCCTGAAGTGATGCAGGTCTCAGACGTTTACCACTTCGGTGAAACCCACGAGCACGGGTATGGTGCTGACAAACCTAGAAACATAATCGGGGTGAACCGGGATTCGAACCCACAATCATAGGTTTCTGGCGTGTCCAGGGGACGCAACTCTGCACAGCGAATCGCGGCGCCTTAGACGACTGGGCCACCCGTGCTCCCCCGGCTGGAAAGACCCTCGGTTATCCATATCATATCCATTACCTATAGCTACAATGGCGACATGATACACTGGATAATCGAGGATGGGACAGGAAAACACCATGTTGAGTCAGCAGTAAAAAAAGGACTGGGCAGCCACAAAAATGAGAAACATGACAATAAAACCGGCGCTCTTAAAAGTCATTCTGTGGTCTCCATCCCGGCATCTGTGACGTCACGAACTGACCATTAGACATGGCCAGTGCGTAAATCTCAATGAGGAATGCCTGTTTAAATGACACCCAGTCTAGCAATCTACGAACTTTATTTTCGTACACGTGTGTCTGGAGTTGCGATGTCCCAAGTGGGCTTGGTCCGTTTTATTGAGATTGAACTCTGCCAAACTCTGGTAGTTTTGATTAGAGGATGCCTTAGATGTGAGAGAAGTCTGCTTCAAGTGGCAATACAAACAATATCATTATTGGTCTGGGCGTTTTAACCTATGTGACTATTTAACAATCAAGCCTCTATTTCATTATCGACTTCCTTTACACATGGGCCCTTTAATCTACCAACGTCTCGCCAATTCTCGCTTCCATCTTAATGGTTTGTCCTGAAGGGGTGCCCTAAGTCAATCTAAATCTCGTACTGTCTCGTTCGGTTCGTGATTCCCGTGTCCGCCATTACATGCATCTCGTAATCCCCTGTACCGTTTGTGTTACATAAAACGACAGTAAACCCCATCCATGTTAAAGCAGCACCATATGAACTTAACTCTCGCGGGGCTCTCTCCTCATACTCCGAAACATTGAAATCTCCAACCGTATACATATATATATCTATATCGCGAGCCAAGTCTCGCCAA